CTGGATAAGGTGTAATTCCGATATAACGCGGGGTAAAACCGAAAATTTGGTAAAGTGTTCCTTTTTGACTTTCGACAGAAGGTTTAGATTTACTTTTCGTTCGTCTATACCCCTCTACAAAAAGCATTGATACATACTTTATGTTTCTAATTTAATTCTATATTTTGCTCACTTGAATTTTCGGAATTACCCCACTTAAAATCCAGTGGTTCTAAACATTTAAGGCACCACCACGGCAGCACACCTTGCGTTCCTATAGTTGGACATTTATTAGGCTAGTTAAAGAGGTTTCTTCAAACTTTTATAACAGGTAAGCGAGAATAAAAAAATATTTTTTTATACATGTCTTTATGTATTTTTAATGAGTCAAACTATACGAAATCGGGATTTTTCACACCTTTAAAAACTCATATCTGCGAAAATATTACCTTTATCGTAAAACGTCATAGGACCTTTTATATTTATAATTTGCCAAGAAGTATAAACAAATATTGTTCATACTTTATTCTTTTTCTTTATGCATTTCTAATGGGGCAAAAGTATCCGAAATTGGGATTTTTCAAGCCCTTAACAATTCATAGAAGATATTAACTTTATCGTAAAAAGTCACGGGACTTTTTTATTCGTATTTTATCAAAGAATATTAAAAAAAATAGTCCCGTTTGAAAATAACAATACAAGTTTAAACAATACCTACGGCACCGAGTTGCCTCATGGCAACATGCATTTATATCATCAGTACGACAATTTGAAGAGAATAGCATAAAAAAATTGATGTGGAATAGTTTTCGGTACTCATGCACCTATTCCTTCTGGACAATATCTAAATATTGGCATTGCGGTAGATACGCCTTGCCCACTGCCGTTGGTTAAATTCGCGAACGTGTTAAACTTATCCAAAATAACAATTTATGCTGACGAAGGATTGACAGCCACTGGAAATTACAATGGAAAAGTAGTTCGATAGTCCATTAATCCGTAATTAACCCTGTGGGGCATATCCGAAAAAAACACAAAAAAAAATAGCTGGCTAATCCTAACCTATAAAATAAAGCTTTAAAAACGATTACCTATCATAGAATCAAACAATCATTAAGATTACTTAGCAAATTCCGAAGATAATGATCGCGGGGTAATTCCGAAAAACCGAAAAGAGTTGAAAAAAGCTGTTTCCACCGAAAAGTTAACTTTGCACGCGCACTATTAAGACTAGCTACTTGAAACCTCGCTTCAGAGGGAGATAAATAAAATGTCGTCTAGAATAAAGTGACCAGAGCAAAAAATATTGCCTAGTTAAGCCGTAATTTGTAAATATCGGAATTACCCCATTTTCGTAATAATCCCAAAGCACCTTACTTTTAATTACCAACATTAAAATAAAATGGCTAATTCTCAATCTCATAATACGAACACAAACTGTCGAAACCTTGATCAAATTACGAAACATAAACAAATAGCTAATAATGAATTGTGATTCCGATTATTGCCACCAGTTGGCGCTGATTTTATTCTATACAAATCGTAGTTAACTTACTCGATATCGAATGCGTAAAAACAAAATCTCGCACTAGGCACACTGATCGGCTCGTTTCACTCTCGCTGCGAATGGATGTTGCATCCCTTTGCATTTTCTATCGCAACTGCCACGGGGAGTGCTCTGAGGAATTGTTCGTATTAATTCCAGCCGCAAAATTTCACGAACGCACATCGCGTTAAAACTCACGATACCATCCACAACATCTGGATGCTCGCGGTCCACCACTGTTACTTTTTAATAGGAGTTTTCTTCCTCGTACAACCTCTCTGTAGAATTGTTTACCAACGAAGATTTTCCCCGGACAACGACATAGGGTACCTTCAAAAAAAGCCTTAGACCTTAATACTTTCTAAAAGGCCGGCAACGCACCTGCAATTCCCCTGGTGTTTTTCATGGATGGCGGTAGTCGCTTACCATCAGGTGAGCCGCATCCTCGTTTGCCCCCTCTTCTATAAAAAGGCAACGAAGAGCAGCGTCAAGGTGCAAGATGTCTGATACTTCAATTCGTCTGCCACGCGTGCCGATTAAGGCAAATTTTCTCTAAGTTATGAGAGTCCTACGTCCAACTGACTTTTACGCTTTTACGCTTATGAGGAAGAAGAAGTAAATCCTACTAATATTATAAACGTGTCAGTTTGTGAGGATGTAGGGATGTATGGATTTTTGTTACTCTTCTACACAAAAACTTTTTTTTATATTATAAGGGTGACAAACATAGTCCACCTAATGGTAAGTGGTTGCTGTGGCCCATAGACATCTACATCTATCCTCGTTTGCGAATCAAAATGCAGATGCGTTGTCAGCCGTGAGGACTAAGATAGAATGCCTCTTTTCCAGTAATAAGGATCTCCGGTTCTCTACACTCACCAAACGAAACAGCAGCGTTAAGCTGCTATTTTACGTTGGTATTCAAAGGTAAATAAACTATTGAATGTGTTTCAATTAAATTTTACAATAATATAGCTCATACACCAGAACAACACATAGGCAATAATTAATAAAGATACTGTGTAAATTAGTCAAAATATAACGAGAGGTGTTTAGTAAGTCGGAATGATCTGTCATCTGCGTGTTATTTTGGCATGCGGTGCAAACATTGTAAAGTATAATTGATTTAATGTATAATATCTACGCGGACGAAGTCGCGGGCAAAAGCTATTCTCGAACAATTTTTAAATTATTTCCTATGATAACACGACGCGTGGTCACTTAAGTAATTATAAAATTACCAAAAAAAAAATTAAGTAATTACTTGGTTGAAATTAGGATTTATTGAGAGCATAAAGCTGGTATTGTATTATTTTTAACTTTTTTTTTAAAAGGTGTTGTATTGGATTCTATTTTTTTTACGATATTTCAAAGTAAAACCTTGAAATATCGTTAAAAGTCAGAAAAGTAGCTGATTATTAAGGATAACTCAAAAACTACTGACCAGATCTTGATCAAATTTATATGGGACCATATGAGAAGCACCAGCCTTCAAGTAAAAAGGATAATCAAAATCACTTCACCTGAAGCGATTTTCATTATGCTTTTTTTCTAGGTAGAAAAAAGTTCTGAGGTAACACACATTAAAAACATACAGTCGAATTGAAAACCTCCTTCTTTATTTTTGAAAAAAAAAATAATAAAATTGTTTTATTTTAGACTTTTGTCCATAATATTGTTAGTGGCATAAAAAAAGAGATCTTAAAACTAGGTAGGTAGGTTTGAAGTCGGTTGAAAATAAAAATCGATGCCAAAACCAAGCCTCAATTTGAGACACTATTAAATTAGGTGGGTATGGTCTAATTCTTTCTATTTTCTTGAAGTCGGTTTTAATTTTGCTTATTTTTTTTCTAACGACTGAAGGTTTAACGGTTGAAAGGTTTTGGATAATGTGGCAGATTTAAAAAAATCTACTGTGGGTGGAAATTGATACAGGTCGAGGGTTTCAGTAGTTACATACCAAGATCATCTTTATCATAATCATCAGCCTTTAAAATACTACATCTAAGTATCTCTACCAAGGAATGCCACATAACCCGGTCGTAAGTCGCCTGCATCCATTTAATTCCTGACTGTCTTCGTCGTTCTTCTAGGGCTGCTCTTCATTCCACTTACCGGTACAAGATTTCCCTTCAAGAAAGTTTCCTTACTGTCGATTGTCTATTATTTAAGCTCTTACCATTAGAGACGAGCCTCTTAAACTCCACTGCTGAATATAGGCCTCCCCCATACTTTGCCTCATAGGGGGGATATTTGCCATAGTTGCCGCGCTTGACAAGCGGTTGGCAACCGTAGTTTTTTAATTTTAGTCGTTATTAGGAAGACGCTGCTGCCCATCTCTTGATTTGTTTGTCTCTGTCGCCTCTTACGACACCAACGTGATGGTATGAGGTAGTGGATATTCTTACACCGCCACTACACGGACAATACGGCTTTACCTTAGAGAAATACAATCTTCTCCATAGCTATCTAAAGCGACTTTATGTTAAGCATCTCCATAGGGCCAGCAGTGAAACACCACATCTCACTTGCAACGTGCGCTGTTTATACACTTTTGTTTTAAGGTTTTGAGGATCATTTGACGTTTACTTCCCGAACGCTGCTCAACAGAGTTGAATCCGTCAGCTGATCGCCTGTTTATAATGTGGTTACAATAGATTAATTACTATGAACTATGAACTGACTGAGCGCGCGAAGACCTATCATTAATCTAAGGATATCAGCATAGATTAATGATAGGTCATCGTCTGAGCGCGCGAAGACCTATCATTAATCTAAGGATATCAGTATAAATATAAACAAAAAACTGGGCAACTGGGACTCCGTGAGTCCGTGACAGAACGCTCCAAGCTCAAATGCGGAAGGCGGTGCTACCCGCCGGTTTCTTGTCCTTTCCCCCTACACTCGGCCATTTGGTCGTATTATTAATTTACGTATGGTTTATGTATTTATTTTGCGATATTAATATAAGTATGTATATTTATCATTTCCTTTTATATATTTATGCTCAACCAGAGGAGAAAACTATTTAAATGCACCCATAATAATACTTATAATAAATAAAGAATAACAATTCTATACTTTGCGTTTTGATATATTATTATATCAAAATCAATTGATTTCAATGACATCTATCGCATACAATGAGAACTATGAAACGAACAAACTGCCACGTTGAGAAAATAATTTGTAATGTTATTTCGTTCTTCACCAAGCTTTGTAGAGGTGACACGTTAACTTTATAGATGGCGCTTAATATAAAATGTTATATACTTAAATAAGGTTTACGTTTTACCGTGCAAAAAATTTCAACCATAAATTTATCTAGTTACAAATATATTTTTAAAAAATATTGTAAATTCTGTAGAATTATTTATTTTGTTGTAACGGGGAACAATACTGAAGATAAAAAAAAACAAATAATCCGTAACAATTTTATTTAAATTCTATTTATTTTATGTAGGTGCTTTTTAATTCAATTTGAGCAAGCGAAACAAACATTTGGAAAATCTATTTTCTCTGTTAGTTTTAAAAGAATGGGTTCGATCACCTCGTGGCACCATGATGTAATACTATCCCAGTTGCTGAATGGTGTATACTGAAAATATAATTAAAAAACATTTCATATAACGTCCTCTAACTTATTCTTTTAGGTAATCATATTACAATTAAGTATTGTTGCTTTGAGAATGTGATAGAGAATGTTTCAACAAAATGAGTTTCATATTTTTTATACAAGTGTGTGACTCACTCCCCAGAATAATATCACACAGTCCAGCTAGTAAGTGACCGATATGGTAGCTGGTGAGGATGAACTGGTAAGTGACCAAAATTCACAATATATACTAGACTAGTGCCAAAAAGAAAATCATAAAATCTGGACCCTATAAGTGACGCTGTGGCCAAGTTTTTAACCGACTTCAAAAAGGAGGAGGTTCTCAACTCGTGTCAAACGTTTCTTTTCGTGTGTATGTTACGCGATACTTCGCAGATTGTGAACCAATTTTGATGATTCTTTTTTTATTAAATAGGTTATACTTCAAGGGTGTTTATTTCCTATTTTAGCAATTTGAAGTCGGTTTCTACTTTTTGTTAAAAGTTATAAACATTAATAAGCTTTATATTTACACTGTAAAAAGTCTGGAGATAATTCAGAGTGAAACCCATTGCGCCAACTTTCGGGAATGTCAGAGTAACGTCTGAGTATTACTGTTAATTATTAACGCCAATGTAAGGCTATACTTTATTATATAGAATACAGGTAACAAACGAGTGCAAAGTCCACCTAATGGTAAGTGGATGCTACAGCATCCACTTACCATTAGGTGGACTTTAGACTTTTTACTTTAGCCCATAGACATCTACATCTATCTTCGTTTGCAAATTTAAATGCAGATGCGTTGTCAGCCGTGAGGACTAAGATATAATTCCTCATTTCCAGTAAAAAGGGTCTCCGGTTCTCTACACTCACCATACGAAACAGCAGCATTAAGCTGCTATTTTATGCTGGTATTCTGTGAGAGCGTGGTCCTTCCCCGGTCGAACCGACTTGGCTCTACCACGTTTGATCTATCCTCGATGAACAATCAAATTGCAGACGCGTTGTCACGCATATACTAGGGTTCCCAGTGAAAAGGGTTCTCAGTTCCCTACACTCACCATACGAAACATCTATTTTACGCTGGTGTTCTGTAATTTTTAAAAATAAGGAAATATTAAGAAGAATAATTGTTATAAAATTATCCATTGTTCTATTACAAGAAATAATCGACATCTGTGTTTCACTTCCTATGCAAAATTTTATTAGTGTCTATCCAATGCTGCGATTATTATTTTATAACATTAAAATAAAGTCAGGTACCTTGAGGATCACCAGCTGATTAGTGACCGCCAATACGGTTTTCGTCGGTGTCGATCAGCTGGTGATCTTCTGGTCTACCTGACCCATAGATGGGCGAAGGCAGTAGAGTCCAAGGGGGAGGCGTTGGCCGTTAGTCTGGACATTGCGAAGGCCTTTGATCGGGTTTGGCACAAAGCGCTTCTTTCGAAGCTGCCTTCCTATGGGCTTCCCGAGAAATTGTGCAATTGGATCACCAGCTTTCTTGCAGATCGGAGCATCAAGGTCGTTGTAGACGGAGCATGTTCTGACTACAAGCCTATTAACGCTGGTGTTCCACAAGGCTGTGTGCTATCACCAACGCTGTTTCTTCTGCATATCAATGATATGTTGCTAACTGGTAACATTCATTGCTATGCGGATGACAGCACTGGTGATGCTCTATACACCGGCCGGGCCAATATTTCTCGGGAAAACGTCGCCGAGTACCGGAACAAACTTGTGTCTGAAGTCGAGTCTTTGCTGGACAAAGTCTCGGATTGGGGGCGACTAAATCTAGTCCAGTTTAATCCTCAGAAGACACAAGTTTGCGCGTTTACCGCTAAAAAGAACCCCTTTGTCGTATCTCCTCAGTTTCAAGGCACTCCCCTTCTTGCCTCAGCCAGTATCGGTATCCTCGGAGTCGACATATCGAGTGACGTGCAGTTTCGTGGTCACTTGGAAGAGAAGGCTAAATTGGCCTCTAAAAAGCTTGGCGTGCTCAGCAGAGCGGGACAGTATTTCATGCCGGCACACCGCCTGCAACTTTACAAGGCGCAGGTTCGGCCTCACATGGAATACTGTTCCCATCTCTGGGCAGGGGCTCCCCAGTGCCAGCTCCTTCCACTTGACCGCATCCAGCGCAGAGCGGCTCGAATCGTCGACGACCGAGCCCTTTCCGATCGGCTCGATTCATTGGCACTGCGAAGAGATGTTGCATCTCTTTGCATTTTCTTTCGCATCTACCATGGGGAGTGCTCTGAGGAATTGTTCGGATTAATCCCAGCCGCCAAATTTCACGAACGCACATCGCGGCAGAACTCCCGATACCATCCACACCATCTGGATGATTGGCGGTCCACCACTGTGCGATTTAGAAGATGTTTTCTTCCTCGCACAACTTCCTTGTGGAATAGTTTACCACCAGGGATTTTTCCGGACCGATACGACTTAGGGACCTTCAAGAAAAGAGCCTACTCCTTTTTAAAAGGCCGGCAACGCATCTGCAATTCCCCTGGTGTTGCGGTTGTTCATGGGCGGCGGTAGTCACTTACCATCAGGTGAGCCGCATGCTCGTTTGCCCCCTCTCCTATAAAAAAAAAAAAAAAAAAAAAAAAGGTACGTTAACGTTACCGTTACAGCCTATTAAGTCCAATGCTGAGCATAGGCCTCCCCTATAGATTGCCTCATTTGCCTTGGCAAGCGGTTTGGCAACTGCAGTTTCTACGCCCACGGGATGATATGGGGTAGTGGATACACTTACACCGTGATTACACGGTAATAATAATTATTTTAATTAAAATATACTCACTAGTCTTGCAAGCACTTGAGTGACGTGGTTCGCAGGCATGTATATCATTCTGACTCCGTTGCCTACGTTCAAATTAGATATTTCAGCATTCACATTGTACTGGTTTAGATTAATATTTTTTATAATCTGAAAAAAGAAACTTAACCACTATATTTTTTGCATATAAAATTCAAATTTCTTTTTTGAATTTAGAACGGAAAATATTTTCCGTTTTAAACGCAATAAAAACAATACCTACCGTACACGTGATCCTAATTTGGGAGTGCGTGTAAATACCAGTGTAATGCTGCACAGGTTCACCATCCAAATTGACTATGACGTCGAAACCGACCTTCACGTTTCTAAGAATAATATTGCCACTCACTGAACCAGTCCACTCTGTGGTATTGCTTACAGTCCTTACTGCCTTCTTGATATCCGACAGCTCTATCTTCTCAATGGACACGACGAATCCGTTTGTGTACTTTACTGTACCGGCTACATGCCAGTTATACATGTGCTCGCTGCGAAGCATTAAATACATAATATGCAATATGATTTATTACTAACTTGACCATTGCGCCACCTGTTGGGCCCAGATTTCTTACGAAACGTCCATTAATTACATGAGGTGAGGAGGTGACGATTTTTCTACCCTCCCCCACCCCCCGGTGAGATGTCGTGAAATATGGCTCGACTTCCTCCCTTCGCAAATCTCATATGAGATTTTTAAAATGCGTATTTTTAGTGTAAATACTTTTTATTCTGTGCTTGGTTGAGTTGAGTTTGTTTTAAAAAACATAATTTGCTTAATTATTTTTAATATAATTTCTGGAGTCGAATTTAAATACTATTGTGTAATTACCATATTTAACTTGATTATACCAAATCATTTTATTATCAATATTTTTTATCAGGAAGATATTGCTGTTCATTTTCTGTTTCTGTTTAACTTCCTCGCCACTAATACCCACGGGTCGACTTGTGATAGTGGATTCTTTTAAATCGCAACTACACAGCACAGGAATCACAAAAAGTTAACAATAATGTCTTCTATGATCTTGTTGTTAGCTTTTGACAATACTCGGTAATTTTCATCGTAATTAAAATCGTTTGGGAGATTATCCCTTTTGTCATTATTATCACCACAATATTATTCTGGCAGCATAATATCGTTTTAAAATGCAGATATCTATTTAAAAAATTTAAATTCAAAACACACAGGGTTGATTGAGATGAAGAGAAAGGTCAATATTTGATAATTTTTTAATCTATTTAAAAAAAAAACTTTTCCGTTATCTTAGTCTATGTTCGGAGTATCTCTACGTAATAAACTTCGTAATAAGGATGTCCACAGTAGTAACCATAGTAACTGACATAACCTGACGAATCAGTAAGCTGAAATGGCAATAGTCTGGCCATATAGCTAGAATAATTAACAACGATGGGGAAAAAAGGTACTTGAGTTGTAGCCTCGTAACAGGAAGCGAAGGGTGGCCCCACATTTGATAAAGTGACGACCTAGTAAGACACGCAGGAAGTCGCCATACACTCACCATTCAAAATACAGCAGCATTAAGCTGCTATTTTACGCTGGTATACTATGAGAGCATGGTCATTCCCCGGTCGAGCCGACCCATTCGTGCTACAACCATAATATTTTTTTTATAGGATAAGGTGACCACCAAAGTGGTTTGGGCACGTTGAGCGAATGAGTGAAGACCGAATGGTGAAGAAAATATATAGCGCGAAAGTTAATATTAAAAGGTGTCGAGGTAGACCGAGACTAACTTTCGAAGACCATGTGAGCAAATTGCTCGAAGAGGGTAGGGTCAAGAGTACTCGGATACCTAGACGTGCATGTATGAAGAAGGTAATGAATCTGAAAGAAGCGAAAGAGGTATGTAAGGATCGTGACACTTGGCGATCTGTTCTCTCTGGCTACCCCGTCAGGGATTGTGCGTGAAGATAAGTAAGTATAAGTAAGATAAGGTGACAAACCACACAGTCCACCTGATGGTAAGTGGTTGCTGTGCTCCATAGACATCTACATTTATCCTCAATAAAGAATCAAAATGCAGATGCGTCATCACCCGTGAGGACTAAAATGGAATGTCTCTTTTCCAGTAAAATTGGTCTCCGGTTCTCTACACTCACCATACGAAACAGAGCAGTGTCAAGCTGCCATTTTACGCTAGTATTCTGTGAGAGCGTGGTCCTTCTCCGGTCAAGCCAACCCATTCGTGCTACAACTATACTACTAATATAGCTGCAGCATGGTTCTTCCACGTGGTAATATAGCAAAAGTTGCCAATCCGCTTACTAAACATGGCAACTATAACAAGACCCCTTTATGAGGCAATCTTTGAGGAAGTTGAGATGTTGCTGATGATGAGACTTACTCAAGCGTCTGACTAACGTCTAGTAACTTCAAATTCCACCATCCATGCTTTTCTTCTAACTCTGTAACCATTGCGTTCATAATTTTTACAAAATAATCCTCTGCATTCACCAGACTTGCGTTACTGGCTGTAACAAATAAATGTAATTTTAGCCGACTAAAAGAAACAGGAGGTTCTCAAACGATTCTTTAACATTAAGTAGAATATATCCCAAGCCTACCCCTAATGGGACTACTTTTTTATAGGATAGGGTGATAAACGAGCACACAGTCTACCTGATGGTAAGTGGTTGCTGTGGCCCATAGACATCTACATCTATCCTCGATTACGAATCAAAATGCAGATGCGTCGTCCCGTGAGGACTAACATAGATACAGATAAAACAGTGTGCTGAAACACAGCAATGTCAAGCTGACATATTACGCTAGTATTCTGTGAGAGCGTGATTTTTCCCCGGTCGATCCGATCCATTCGTGCTACAACTATACTATGAATGTAGCTGCAGCATGGCTCTACCGCGTATAAACTTATTACTTATTAAGAATAAAAAAAATATTTTTATTTCAGTATGAAGTTTGATGAGATGCAATATTAAATGTAGATTTTTAGACGACATTCTCGTTGCTGCCATGAGCTTAGTCTACTCAAAAGGTTCTAATAATTTAAGTGAAACTCGTCTCAAAATAAAATTAAAAAGGAATAAAATAATTTTCAGATAATTTTATAGCTTCTGAAGTTGGCCTTAAGAAGGTATGTATGTACATTGTAGGTATGTATGTACTCGTTGGTCTAGTGCTGTGTAATAGTGTGCCTGCTGATCGTGAGGTTCCGTACTTTTTTTATAGGATATGGTGACAAACGAGCACACAGTCCACCTTGTGGTAAGTGGTTGTTGTGGCCCATAGACAAATACATTTATCCTCGATTGCAAATCAAAATGCAGACGCGTTGTCAACAGTGAGGACTAAGATAGAATGCTTCTTTTACAGTAAAAAGGGTCTCCTGTTCTCTACACTCACCATATGAAACACAGCAGTGTTAAGCTGCTATTTTATGCTGGTATTCTGTGAGAGCGTGGTCCTTCCCCGATCGAGCCGACCCGTTCGTGCTACAACTATACTACTAATATAGCTGCAGCATGGCTCTACAACGTACAAAACGTTTTCTTTTCCGTCAAGAAATTTTCTGTAGTTCGGAATAGGTTCGGAAGTTTCCGGTGTGTAACCCCCGTGTTTCGGAAAGCACGTAAAGCCGTTGGTACTGCGCCTGATCTCTCTCCGCTTTTGTTGGCTTACCGTCCCATCGGATTATGAGAGTGAGGGAATAGAAAGTGAACCTGTGCTTGCGCATACTCTTGGACACTATAATCCTGTCCAGCGCCGTTGGTTAGTCTCCGTTGAGGCTGGTCGCCGTGACCAAAACTCGGTCTGGAAGACATTAACTAATATATGCGCGAAATTTTCGTCAATTATTGTGAGCCGTGCTAGAAGACATAGTGAATCGAAGAACGAAAGCTGACATTACATATTTTTTAATATTTTTGACTCTTTATAGGTTTAATATTTTAAGTTGTATAGGCAAGTATTTTGTGAATGACACATATGGAGTGGAACTAGAGTTATTGATATTTTTTATAGGATAACGATCATTCCACCTGATGGTAAATGGTTGCTGTGGCCCATAGACTTCTACATCTATCCTCGATTACGAATAAAAATGCAGATGCGTCGCCCCGTGAGGACTAAGATAGATACAGATAAAACAACCAACATAAAAATCACTGCTAGACTCTCTTATTTCTGGTAAGGTTTTAAAATAAAGAATGCCTTGATGCGTATCTTCATACATTTTTATCGAAATATAAAATTGAAAACATACAAGCTAGTGACAGCTTGTTGGACTTAAAGTGTCCATTGTAATCAAGTGAACTCAGCATAGTTATAATATAGTGAAAGCACAAGGTTTAATATAAATTTGTGAAAACAAGTAAATTCATACAATTATTATAAGCCCCCCTTATTTGATATCCGCTCAGATTTCAGAGGAGGTTGTGCCTACGTGTGGGACAAATATACATATAGATATATACTCGTACATATAGACTGAACTTTATAAACTTCAAACTATTTTAATGACATATGAAGGATTAACCTGGACAGAGCCAAAGGCCCGCTAATTAAAATAAATGGTGAATGGTATATTGTATAATAACAAAATTTTGAACACTCGAAAATTGTTTCCCAGTTTAGCGCGACAATATGGTCGACTAAACTTTCCTAGACTTAGACTTTTTTTTATTGAAACAAAATCAATTATGTATAATGTAATCATGTTTCCAATATATTACAATAAATATAAGCCTTCACAAATTAAAAAAAAAATTCTGCAATAAATTTTAAGTAAGTTTTTTAACCTTTAGCAATGTTAAAACTTTTCCAATGTAATATACATTTAACTGCATTGATAGGGTGTGTACTGTAAATTACATTTTGTGAGATGAAAATGAAAGCAAGTGCCTGTGTGTATGTGTGTCTGTCGCACACATATTATTCATACACACCTTTTATCAGAAACGTGCAATATAGATTTTACACAATAAAAATTAAAAGAGAAACACTATACCTACATATCTTTAAAATTCGAAACTTACCTGCCTGTTGACCGGAGACACATATTATAACAGAAAAACTTGCTAAAATCCACAACGTCTTAAACATTTTGAAATTGAAATTTATTTTAGTGCATAAACTAAAATCGACCTAACATACACAAATGTTAGAAGCGGATACTGAATTATGAAATTATTTAATATGATAATGAAAGTATTAAGAAAATTAAGCTGATAAGATTCACTGTTACATCGTTATAATCAGTGCTATGACGTTTTATAGACCGGCCGTGTGGCTTATTTGTTTGTTTCTTTTATTGAATTTTGTAGAAAATATTTTTTTAAAAAAACCCTCACTTAATGCTGTTTTGAGTGGCTTTATTTTAGGTTGTCGTTAGTTACAGAATAAATATTTTATTACGAAAACTTTTTTTAGATATCTCAATATGCCGATCTTGTGAAAAATGCATACAGCAACAGTCAGTGGCCCATGTCGCTTTATGGAGAAATGTCCTAAAAATAATATTTTTTTTAATTGAAGTGACGAAACGAATTTACAGTCCAGCTGATAGTTTTTTTATATGACAGGGTGACAAACGAGCACACAGTCCACCTGATGGTAAGTGGTTGCTGTGACCCATAGACATCTACATATATCATCAATAAGGAATCAAAATGCTGATGCGTTGTCACCCATGAGGACCAAGATGGAATGCCTCTTTTCCAGTAAAAAGGGTCTCCAGTTCTCTAAACTCACCATACGAAACACAGCAGTGTTAAGCTGATATTTTACGCTGGTATTCTGTGAGAGCGTGGTCCTTCACCGACCAAGTCGAGCCGACCCATTCGTGCTACAACATTGAATTATTATGTACTACGTACTAGAGGCGACACTGCATTATGTTATGCTGTTCCATTCAACTGCGGTGATATTGCCGCACTTTACTCAGTAGCTCACTAGGCGCTAGTGAGTTGACACATGCTGTACCTGTATTGAATTATATATAAAATTCTTGATAAAATACGCTATGGTGTGTTTTAGAAATTGCACAAATAATTCAAGAAATGTTAGCAAATACCAAGGAATAACTTTTCATCGGTGAGTAAAATACTTAATAAAAAAGTATTATAGATTAATAATTAATCAAACAAATTATTCAAAAGACGCCATCTGGGGTCATGAAATATAGATTATGAAATTAATTTGTTCAAATGCGACGTTTCTGTAGGTACTTAAGTCTGAGAATAATTATGCATAATATAATATGTTGTTTTTTTTTTGTAGAAACAAATGGAAGTATTTATATTTAGGCTAAATTTCTGATATTTAAATTTGCTGATTATTTTTTTATTTTATTTTTACCTGTTTCCACGTCCAAGCCATGAAAACAGGGAAAAATTGACTAAATTCATCAATTTTTTAACACTCGCGTGCCCAGCATTTATGAACGACTCTTATTCTAATCTAAATAAATATATTTGTAAATTATATGTTATATCAATAAGTTTTGTTACAATATTATTAAGTATGTTTTTTTATATTTTACATAGTTACCTTTTAAAATATTCAAATAAAAATTCAGAAATCAGCAGTACCATGCGATAACGTAATTATATTATTATATAACATTGCTGGGATTTTAGTTTTATTTTCTGATTAGACGACGAACGAATTTTTTGTAATATTCGGTATATTTACGGGACTTAAGAGAGGTGGAACCCTCGGCGCGCGAGTCACACTAGTATATGGTGGTTTTTTTAATACTGTAACGCTAGAAGTTTTACAGGCTTCCCAAATAATTAGTATCTTTTTTTTTCAGCCAGCAAAATGTGGTGAATAGGAAGTATCAGAACCGTTGTCTGAATCAATAAGCAGTTCAAATTCATTTTTTGATAGTCCGAGCAAAATTGTACTTACAAATAAAATACGCAAGTGATGTCTCCTAAGCCTATTTTGAGTGATGTATACGAAGCCTAAGTTTTTAAATATAGTTCTACGTTAGTAACGGAATCAATAATTCTAGGTCATTATAGAAATAATAAATTATGAGCACGTTGTAAGATTGTGTTTGTATTTAATAGCAAGGAATCTACAGCTAGAAAGAAATTTACTGCGAAATTTAAGAAAATACAAAGCCTAAATATTTATTTAAAGAAAAAATGCGCTTCTTACAAATCAATTGGATAAAATTTTAAACATAAATTCAGTCTCAAACTAAATGCTGAGATTGATTTAATGGCTAAAGCAGAAGTTGTGGAGTTACATGAATCTTTAATGAAAAAGAATAAACAGAGCACACATTATTTATTAATGCACTGCATGCACCTTAACGTAAATTCGCATTGATTTTACACTATTATTCACCAGCTGCGTATAAATATGTTAGAGAATTCTAGAAAAGTAATAATATATTCATATTTGTATATTTTTCATATTAACTTTTTAATGTATTAAATGAAATATCATTCAAATGTAATTCTGTCATAATATTATGTTATATTATAGTAAATTAACACATAAATGCAAAATAAATAACAAAAAATTGTACTCGATATAATTTACAACACAGTCTAAATTAACAATTACTTATTACGTGATGATCATTCTACCTACGTATAATCTATGATGACAAAAACCGCGCATGCGCGACTCTACTATCTCCCGCGCATGCGCGAAGACAGAGTAGCGCACATTTTTTGTTTGGGATAGCTTCTCTAGTACGTAGCATATATAGCTCAATGGCTGTAGCATGGCTCTACCACGTATTAAAAATAGTAAATGGCCTCTGCAAGCAACTTCAAACGAAGAAGGCTACAGTTGCGATTTCACCTCTGAGGACTAAAATAGTATGCCTCGTTTCCAGTATAAAGGCTATCCAGTTCTACTTACTATACAAAATACAGCCGCATTAAGTCGATGTTTAGAGTCCAAAGGAGTGTCCTTAAATTTATGTATGTAAATCACTTCAAAATACATGAGAGGCAACGTCTGATTAAACTTTTTGGTGTCCTAGGTTTTTATAGCAAATTGTGTCCTAGTTTTTCATTGTATATATCTCATTAATAAATTAATCGATGAATTTTCAAAAAATAAAAAATATATTAAATTTTTATTTTGAATTAGGTATGTTTCACAATAAATTAAATCTAAGTGCATTTAGTGTATTTGCATAAGCGAGATATTTATTTCTATTTTGATAGACTAGCATTTTTTTCCATAATAAAAAATATAATTATTTTATCAGAAGTTTAATGACGTAGCCTAGACCTTATTATAAATCCATCACTGAAGAGAAATAGGGTAACTTTTTAAAAATAATAAAACAAATAAGTACTTAAATATTCTCTCTTGGAATACGTATTACTTTCACCCGATTATCTCCAATTCTATTCCTGGAAATGACGGCAGCAAATTAAAAGAAAGAAGTAGAAATTTTTGTGGTGAATTCTTTAAAGTGACTGGGGGAGCAGCTGCGACTTTCTGATATTGCTCGTATTGGTAATCGTCAGCTGATAACAAGAGGAACCAATTGCACAGAAGCAAACTGCTGCAGTATAATAATGACGAAGATAAGCAGGTTGTAATCCAGAAAATGTCATTACATCTGGTGAAGTCCCTTAAAACGAACTACGAATTTAACTTTGCTTTCATTACGCATAATATATTTTTTAGATATTTTGTAAAATTTGGGGTTAAAGTAGAAGTAACTTCACATTAAATTAATAACCATATTTATTTTTATACGCGTTACAAATATTTACAGAGGACAATCGTAGCAAATTGTGGGATATGCCAGAACGTTTTCGACCAGATCCATGGCAAATGGCTGCAAAAACTCCGAAGTCCACAGGTCTACACCAGGAGTCACGAAATCTAGATCAAACTGAAAAAAAAAGAATTTGAATCAGATTTGTACTATTAATATCACTATCAATGTCACAAACAGATTTGAGTCAAGTACCAATGTCTAGAAATAGGTTTTTTCACTTTTTCATAGAAATAAGGGTGACAAAGAAGCAAAAAGTCCACCTAATGGACGGAGGAACCTCATTTTGAAACGGCAGAAGAATATTATATATTATACTATACAGAAGTTTTTTTTTTTATAGAATAAGGATAACAAACGAACACACAGTTCACCTTATGGTAAGTGCTTGCTGTGGCCCATAGACATCTACATCTATCTTCGTTTGCAAATTAAAATGCAGATGCGTTGATGTTAGACAAACGAAGGTTTAATTTCTTACGTCGAAAATAAAGTTTTCATTCCATCATATTTCATTCCAATGGTTAGTGGATACTGTAGTCACACTCAAATAAGCATCAAAGAAAACATTTTAATAATTGGTCAGCCATCGCAGAAATATTACACCTGAGGATGCATCACGTGTCGTATTATCAACCGTAGAGTGTCCTTCCTAGTGTAGTAATGCTGGAAGTACTGGTACTAGGATAAGTAGTGATGGAGATAGTGTACGCAACTGAGAAAGGGCGGGAGGTGCTCAATCAAACTAGGTAAACCACATAATTTTATTTTATGACGTGAATCTTAGCTACTTAATTTTTAACATCTTTAATATATTGGATTTCCGCAAAGTAACGTAGCCGCCTGATTCTATTAATTAAGAATCAAACTGCAATGGCAACATTTACAAAGCTCACAACGTATACTGAATTTTGATTCTTAAATCGAGGATAGAAGTGAACCTTCCACCCTCTTACCATCACATCATCCACTTTCCATCAGCTGGCTAGTTTCCTTTTATATCTTTATTATACAAAGGCATATTAAAATTTAATACATAAAGGACAATGGCGAAAAAAAATTTGATAGAATTGATAAGCGTCTACTTGTCGCCGTTACAAATATCAATAAAATAATTAACTATTTTTTATCTTAACAAGTTTGTAGCCTATCGAAGTCTGGAAAAAAAAGAAACTAAATTGCATAGATTACTGTATATATACCTTGTTGACTTGACTAGTTGTTGTAGTTGCTATGATTCGCCAGTTAAGACAGGCAAAGTACTTACACCATACAGCCTAGTTTGATGTGTAATTAAAACTCTTCTCAATATACTAATACATTATTTCAGCATTCCTTCTGCGTCACATTTAAATTTATCCTCGATTAAGAATCAAAATTAAGATGCGTTGTAACCACTGAGGACTGACAACATGAACAATGGACACTGGACAAAATGAAATTTCTCGTTTCCAGTAAATATGATCTCTGGTTTTCTACACTAACAAAATGAAATACAGTAACATTTACGAGTAGCTGCTATTTTACGCTGGTATTTTGTGTGAGTGTGGTCTTTCCCCGGTCGAGCCAACTCATTCGTGCTACAACTATAACATAGATGCAGCATGGCTCTGCCACGTTTATGACTTTTTACTTACTTTGCTTGAACTCTAATTAATTAGCAAGAATGACCAAAAAGATGGGGTAGACTAAAACCTCTGTTTAAGCCAATAAAACCACATTAACTACTGACCATCACAGGTGACACTGACAGTCATCTTTCTTGTATAAAAAACACATTTTATTGGTGATCACATTACTGTTTTACTATTACCTGAACGTAGCCCTCCTCCCCCCATAGATTGTCTCATAGGGAGGATATTTGCCATAGTTGCCACGCTTGTTAAGCGGGTTGGCAACCGCAGTTTTTTATGTTATTTGTTATAAGGATGACGATTACTGCTTTAACTTACCAAATTCCCAAAAATATCCGTGATATTATTAGCGGGCAGGAACTTCATTTTGTTTATTATAGTTCTTGAAACAGATGGAGAAATTTTTACATCAATGCAGTCAGTGTACACATCTCTAATAACCTAAAATAAACATTTATTTATGTTAAGGCATTTTTTCCATCAGTAGAGGATTTAAGTGGCGAGCTAGGGCAAAATGTTCCTTCTTACTATCTTGTAAAAGTAGAGGTATGAGATTACATTTTATGGTTGTGGACTGTGGACTGTATAAGAAATAAGAAACTAAATCTCCAAAATATACAGTTGCCGTTGTTGTAATTGCAAATTTATACCAAAGCAACAATAAACCGACTCACGTTCTACTAGACACGACTAGCCAATCTGTATTTCAGTAATTTTATCTACACGGTTGAAGATACATAACAATTTGACCGTTTATTAGCGGTTCATTATCATCATCATCATTCCCTTCAGAAGTCCACTGCTAAACATAGGCCTCAGCCAAGGAATGTCACAAAACACGGTCCTGGGCCACCTGCACCCATCGACTTCTTGCATGTCTTACCAGGTGGCACTCCATCTAGTGGGGAGTCGCCCTACACTCCACCTGCCGGTACTAAATTGTGTTTGGTTCTATGCGGATATCCTCATTTCTAAGTTTATCACGCAGAGAAAACCCTAGCATAGCCCTCTCACGGCCAGCAGTGAAGGACTACGTCTCAGATCCATAAGTCATCACTGGAAACGCGCACTGGTTGTATATAATTTAATTTTTGAAGTATACGGGACGAGAAGATGTGTCGTAATTTCCCAAACGCTGCCCAGCCGAGTTTAATCCATCGACTGATATCTCGGTCGAAGTTGGACTTAACTAGTCGGACTATTTGTCCCAGGTAAACATAATCGTCAACAATTTCGAGCTTAGTCCTCCCAATAACTACCGGCATAGGTGTGACATGGACGTTATATATGATCTTTGTTTTGTCCATGTTCATCCTAAGACCAGCCGACCATCACAAGTCCACTGCTGGAGAGAGGCTTTCCCAAGGGACGCTAAAAAAACCGCACCCAGGATCACCTGCATCCATCGACTTCCTGCATATTTTACCAGGTTGTCTTTACATCCAGTGGGAGCCGCCCTACAGTTCGCTTAACGGTACGAGGTTGCCACTCGAGAACCTTTCTTCCCTAGTTATATTGCTAGCCCATTAGGCCTCTTCAGCTTACTAATCTATTGGGATATGTCGGTTACTCTAGTTCTACTGCGGATATTGTCATTTCTAAGTATATAATGCAGGAAAACCTCGAGCATAATCCAGTCCAGAGTGCTAAAACGTTAAAGTGCTCCAAAACTAAAGTTCATCTGCTGAACAGAACATGTAGCGATTCTGCCACCCGAGAAACCTTTGTCGCCAATATAAAATTTGTATTACAGATATACTGAACCATACTCTCATATCGAAGGCAACCTCCGGCAGAATGAGTTCAGAAGTGAAGTGCTGGACCCCATTCCTCAGTTTTGCTTCCACATCAAAACCAAGAGTCACGTCGGTCATCCTCATCGTACCAGTGATTTCTACGGTCGTCGTATTTTCATCTCTATGAAATTGCCAATTTTGTCCTAAAGTGCGCTGCAATATATCCAACTGTCCTATAGATACAACAAAGCCGTTCTTGAACGAGACCGTACCTTTGATGAGCTCTCCTAATACATCTTCACTGTAAACAACAACTACCTTTAATCATCATCGTTATCATCATTATCACTACAGCCCATTACAAGTCCACTTCTAAACATAGTCCTCCCCCGTTAACTCCAAAAAGGCACGGTCCTGCGTTACCTACATTCTTTGACACCCTGCACATTTTACCAGGTCTGTTAATACCCACTCTTTCCGATGAACAGCGTTAAGAGATTAGCGTTTTAACGTTCAAACTTTCTCCATTTAATCACACATCTATGTAGGTATACATATAAATATAAGTCTGTAATTAACGAGGGGCTGTAATGCGAGTCCAAAGAACAGTGCGCCAGTAGCCAATAATATGGGTATAGATAGATAATTATGTAAGAAGTGATACGAGTAGGTCAGCCTATCACCAAAAAATCACAAATTATATCCCATTATTATTTTTTATATCTAATATCCCATTTTTTTATTGTATAAGGGTGATAAACGAGCACATAGTCCACCTGATGGCAAGTGGTTGCTGTGGTCCATACATCAAAATGCAGATGCATTGTCACCCGTGAGGACTAAGATGGAATGCCTCCTTTCCAGTAAAAATGGTCTCCAGTTTTCTTACTCACCATACGAAACACAGCGGCGTTCAGCTGCTATTTTACTTGAGAGACTATTCTACTTTTATTTGAGAGCGTGGTCCTTCCCCGGTCGAGCCGATCCATTCGTGCTACATCTATACCACTAATGGTGGCCACTCACGGTCAGTTAAACTGATCAGTTGAGGTGACGTACATCCAAAAACTGATCGTGAATGTGAAATCTTAAGTTAAAATTTTTAACTGACGGCAACCCACGTATTTTTCCGGGCGCACCGTAATCCGCTGGCTTCAGTTCGTTTCCATTATTGGTAAGTACATATTTTCTTAGTAGCTTTTATTTATATATTTTTTTTATAACATTATTTGTATGCTGTTTAGATTTTGTATTGTTTTATATATTTAGAAAAGTTGGTTTGACAGAGGATGGAGACCAAGGTGATTGTAATGATGTCACCTTTCTTATGGTGAACTCAGAAGGTGGGTAAAGGGTCTCAGTGATGCTACTACGTAGAACCATCGTGTTTGAACTCATTTTCAAATAGTTAAATGGAGACCTAGATGACTGTTATGATATCACCTTTATGTTGGTGCAATCCAAAGGTGAGTATAAGATCTCAGTGATGACACTAGATAGAAGGTACTACTACAGATAGGTAATTTAATAAACAGATAAAAATAAATAATACATTTATTAAATAAATAAAATTTACCATAATGAATAAAATTATCATTATATCTGACCCATTTCTTAAAAGTATCTTAATACTGATCATCATGAATAAAAATATATCATGAATAAAAATATCTTTTAAAGTGAAGAAACGATATTTACTCGTATATATATATATACAGACCGGATTTCACTTCTAGATTGACGGAGCCACTGCCGTGCGCGTTTAGTTGGCGTGACTCCTATAAATTAAAAATATCATTTCCTATCTATTAACTAGCTGTTCCCCGCAACTCCGCTCGCTTGTAATTTATTACGATTGGGTTTCATGGGTTTTAATATTTTTGCGCGGAACCCTAATTCTTTTTCTTAATTAAAAGTAGCCTAAGTTCTTCCGTATAAAATCAGCTATCTGCCACTGAAAGTCTCGTCAAAATTGGTTCAGCCGATTCGGAGATTTGCCGCAACAAACAGACAGACAGACAGAAAGACAGACAAACATTGTAAAAATTGAGTTTTTGTTATAAGTACCGTATGTACTTTCATATGTATTTAGTAAAAAACTGTTATTTTGACATTACAAACAGACACTTCAATTTTTTTAATTTGTATAAATATATATTAATAGACAGGAAATGATATTAAATAAGATTTAGATATTATTAAATATCATTTAATTTATCTTTATATATGATATTTTATAGGAGTGACGCAAACCAAACGCCCACGGCCACGCATCACGTTTGAACTAGGACTGTTGATAAAATATCGATATATCCAAAAATCTATTTTATTATTTAGAAATATCGATATTTATTTCTAATATTTTTGGACGACATATATTGAAATATAAGTTTGATATTGAAATATAGATATACGACAGTCGATATATTTTTTTAAATAATTTAATGTTTTATTTTTTCACGTAAATCATTTAAACTACAACACCATCGTAAACTTAAATCCTAATCCTTGCTGGACCCCATCTACTATACTTTATTTACACTATATTATGTTTTTAATTTTTGCGCAGTTTATTTATTTGCTTATTATCTTAAAAATAAATGTAATTTTGTAAAGTATATCTCTGTGATATTAAAATCACTATAATCTATGAAACTTAGTACTATTTTACTTACTGTGAGTTTTGGCAGGAACTTGACCATCAACGGATGATTGTTCCTGTTTTTTTGTTTAAATAATCGTTTGAAGTGGATTTTTATCAAAGTGATGGGATTATGAGTATTAAGTGTCTGCGCATGTGAACTATTAGAGAAAACGACGAAATAAGTGCTTCGATGTTGGTATAGCCTCAAGTTATTTTGATTGCTTAGGCGTCTTATGATTTACTTAAGTGCTATCAGAAATAGCTGTTAAATATTTGATTTCTTCAGCTGCATACGTAGCATCTGAACGAATTACTTCTACAATAAATCTTTTAGTGCCCAATAATCGCAGTATTGAAACAGCTGAACATATAAAACAACGAGTATTTTTGTAAACTCTTACTGAAAAATATTGGTAAACATAATTGTCTTATTTAAATTAAACAATAATTAAAGTTAAAGTTACAGCTTATATACGTCCCAATGCTGGGCACAGGCCTCTCCTTATTTTTGAGAGGGTTTTAGGGCAAAGAAACGTCCGCCGCGCTGCCCCAATACGTGTTGGCGAACTTCACGTTTTCGAAATTTTTATTTTATTTCTGAGAAATGCAGGTTTCCTCACGATGTTTTCCTTCATCGCCGAGCACGTGGTAAATCAGCACTTAAAATTGCAATTAACAATTTCATTGGTGCCGGCGGGGATCGAACCCGGGTTGATCGCGTACTGTGAAATTTACAGCGAGTGCTAACCATCTGAGCTACCATGGGTTATTAATAATTACTAAGAACTAACTTAACCTAACATTTTCATACATTTATAATTTAATTTGTTTAATATACTAAATTATAATGCTGTGTAAATCATCATCATCATCATTCATCATTACAGCCCTTCACAAGTCCACTGCTGAACATAGGCCTCCCCCAAAGAATGCCACAAAACACGGTCCTGAGCCACCTGCATCCATCGACTTCCTGCATGTCTTACCAGGTCGTCACTCCATCTCGTGGGGGGACGCCCTACACTTCGCCTACCGGTACGAGGCTGCCACTCGAGAACCTTTCTTCCCCATCGGTTGTCGGTTCTTCGAGCTATATGGCCGGCCCACTGCCACTTCAGCTTACTAATCCGTTGGGCTATGTCGGTCACTCTGGTTCTACTGCGGATATCCTCATTCCTAAGTTTATCACGCAGAGAAACTCCGAGCATAGCCCTCTCCATAGCTCGCTGAGCGACCTTGAGCTTCCTCATACGGCCAGCAGTGAAGGACCACGTCTCAGTTCCGTAAGTCATCACTGGCAACACGCACTGGTTGTACAATTTCGTTTTAAGGTTTTGAGGTATGTCTGACGAGAAGATGTGTCGTAGCTTCCCGAACGCTGCCCAGCCGAGTTGAATCCGTCGATTGACCTCTCGGTCGAAGTTGGACTTACCCAGTCGGACTATTTGTCCCAGGTAAACATACTCGTCAACAACTTCGAGCTTAATGTTCCCAACAACTACCGGCATAGGTGTGACATGGACATTAAACATGATCTTAGTTTTGTCCATGTTCATCTTAAGACCTATCCGTTGGGAAACACTATTGAGGTCATTGAGCATAGTGCTTAGGTCCTCCAGCGATTCTGCCATAAGGACTATATCGTCGGCAAATCGAAGGTGAGTGATGTACTCGCCATTGATGTTGATACCGTATCCTTTCCAGTCCAGAAGCTTGAAAACGTCTTCCAATGCAGCGGTGAAGAGTTTCGGGGATATTACGTCACCCTGTCTTACACCTCTCTGCAATTGGATAGGTTTCGTACTCTGGTTCTGTACTCGGATATCCTCATTCCTAAGTTTATCACGCAGAGAAACTCCGAGCATAGCCCTCTCCATAGCTCGCTGAGCGACCTTGAGCTTCCTCATACGGCCAGCAGTGAAGGACCACGTCTCAGTTCCGTAAGTCATCACTGGCAACACGCACTGGTTGTACAATTTCGTTTTAAGGTTTTGAGGTATGTCTGACGAGAAGATGTGTCGTAGCTTCCCGAACGCTGCCCAGCCGAGTTGAATCCGTCGATTGACCTCTCGGTCGAAGTTGGACTTACCCAGTCGGACTATTTGTCCCAGGTAAACATACTCGTCAACAACTTCGAGCTTAATGTTCCCAACAACTACCGGCATAGGTGTGACATGGACATTAAACATGATCTTAGTTTTGTCCATGTTCATCTTAAGACCTATCCGTTGGGAAACACTATTGAGGTCATTGAGCATAGTGCTTAGGTCCTCCAGCGATTCTGCCATAAGGACTATATCGTCGGCAAATCGAAGGTGAGTGATGTACTCGCCATTGATGTTGATACCGTATCCTTTCCAGTCCAGAAGCTTGAAAACGTCTTCCAATGCAGCGGTGAAGAGTTTCGGGGATATGACGTCACCCTGTCTTACACCTCTCTGCAATTGGATAGGTTTCGTACTCTGGTTCTGTACTCGGATAGCCATCGTAGCCCTACTGTACAAGCACTTCAACACTTCGATATACCGACAGTCAATTTCAATATTTTAATCATTTTTAATAAAATAAAAGATATATCGCTTATGTTTTCGACATATAAAACTCCTATATTGATATATTTATAATTATCGATATATTGAAAATCCGATATTTTAAAAATATCAACAGTCCTAGTTTGAACTGATCAGTTGGAATGATCAGTTGAGCTGATCGTGTGTTTCTAAACTGTTTTGCATTAAATCCGTTTGAAATGATCAGTTGAACTGATGTCAGTTTAACTGACCGTGTGTGGGGACCATAATATTGCTGCAACATGGCTCTACCACGTTCAAAATTAATTAAATTGAATAAATTAATCGCTTTTTATGACATGCTAGGAAAGTAACACAGTTGGCACACTCTTTTTAACCGACTTCAAAAAAGTAGGTGGTACTCAATTCGACTGTATTTTTTATGTGTAGGGGAACCGATTTTGATGTCTCTTTTTTATTTGAAAGCTGGTGCTTCTCGTGTGGTCCCATACAAATTTGATCAAGATCTAACCAATAGTTTTGCGTTATCCTTAATAATGCATATTTAATTGACTTCGACTACATTGATGATGTTTTCATTTTATCTACCGACTTAAAAAAAGGGGACGGTACTCAATTCGACTGTATGTTCTTTTTCTTTTTGTTTTTTTCATGTGTTTTATCTCATAACTTTATCTGGGTGAACTGATTTCTATGATTCTTTTTTTTATTTGAATGTTGGTGCTCCTCATGTGGTCCCAAATAAATTTGATGAAGGTCTGGCCGATAGATTATGAGTTATTCTTAATAATTTATATTGAAGTCGGTTGTACAAAACTTAAAATTTAAGCACTTGATAATATAACCACATAAACGTGTGACCTATAAGGCACCGACTTATATGGGACAATTAGTAATTAGTATTTCTGAAGTGTATTTTTAAGCGAAAAACTGGTACGATTTTCTACAGACTTCAAAAATGAGTAGGTAGTTAATACGACTGTATGTGTTTTTTATGAGTATAAAAAAATACCCCACCTCTCCTCGTAACTTTTTTCTGGGTGAACCGAATTCGATGATTCTTTTTTTATTTGAAAGCTGGTTCTTCTCTTGTGGTTCCATATACATTTGATCAAGATCTGATCAATAGTTTTTGTGTTATTTTTAATAATTTATATTAAAGGTGGTTGTACTTAATTTTAAACTATGTGTATTAAGTATCTGCGCAAATCGTGGTGATGGTGATAAAAAATCAAAATGTTGTGTGCGTTTAGCCTTGAGATACCAGAGTCATCCACTGTCTGCTGTTTCAAGGTGCCGTCAAATTAATGTGCCTTTGCAATGTAACGCATCAAATTATTGCGAAGAAATTTGATAACATTTTTAAATGGTTTATAATATTATGTCAGCGTTATGTATTCTTTTTAGCTGAAGGCCTTGTAACCAATATATAAATAATATATAAAACAATAAATAAAAAATATATAATATATCATATATTTACCTCTTCATCATACGCCATAAAACAAAATAATATTATACACGTTGAATAATAATTTTTACGGATTTAAAATTAGAATTTAAATAACGATTGTATAAGTAAACTAAACGCGATAAATTCCGTATAATTTATCAGCATGTTTTTTTTAAAGTCCACCAGATTGCGGTGGACTTTAAAAAAAAAAGGCTATTGCAGTCTATAGACAACAAAGAAGTTGCGTTGTCACACATGAGGGCTAAGGTATAATGCCTAACAGTATGTAATTACACTGGTTCTATTTACCCTAGCAGAAATGGTGTCCTACCGTCTAATAAACTGCATATATCATTAGCCCGTAAAAGTCTACTCTTTCGCATATAGGCCTTCCCCGAAACGATTACCTCATAGCGGGGGTGTGGGAGGGATTTTTCCATAGGAGGCACGCATGGCAGACGTGTTGGTAACCGCAGTTTTTATCGTTTTGATTTGTTAATTGTTATTAGGAAGATGCTGCTGCCCAGTTCCTTCTTCAGTTTCTCTCTATCGCTTTTACGACACCCAAGAGACAATATGAACCACTGATATGGGGTGGGCTTATTTTACGTCTCTCGTAAACAAGATGGTTATAATGCTATTTGCTGGAAGCCATTAGACCTTTCTAGGTCACCTTTTACCATACCCATGAGGCGAAATCAAATGATGTATTCTCTAACTCTACTTCTTATGTTATAGACTTACTTGACGTCCACTGAAACATCAGGAATTTTTAAATTCCACCATCCTTTATCTTCCATCCGGTTCATTGTTTCAGTTATTACTTTGATCATATAAGGTATGGGGTCAATAAGACGAACACGGCTTACTGAAAAAGAAGAAAAAAATTTCTCACATTAAAATTTTCTTTACAACATAATTATATAAAACATATTCGTAAATGAAATGAAATTGTTTTTCGTATATAATTTTTTAACATTTATTTTATTATTTTTAGACATTTTTATGTTATAATAAAAAAACTAACATCTCTACATAGTAAAAAACAAATCGCATCCCGTGGTCTGTGCGCTTAGATCTTTTATATGTAAAACTAGCTGTTCCCCGCGACTTCGTTCGCGTTTTAGGGTTTTTATGTTTCTGCGCGGAACCCTGATTCTTTTTCTATAATAAAAGTAGCCTATGTTACTCCTTATGAAATCAGCTATCTGCCAGTGAAAGTCCCGTCAAAATCGGTCCAGCCGTTTCGGAGATTACCCGGAACAAACAGACAGACAGACAGACAGACAAAAGTTTTAAAAATTGTATTTTAGTTATGGGTATCGTATTTACTTTCATATACATTTAGTAAAAAACAGTAATTTTGACATTACAAACAGACACTTCAATTTTATTTATTTGTATAGATACGCAGATTTTGATGCAATTTCCATCAATAGACAGAATGATTTAAGAGGGAAGTTTTTGTATATACAAAAAATACATTTTGTATATTAATGTAATTCTTCTGTCCGTGTGTATTTGACTGAACTCCTAAACGGCTGGACCGATTTCGATGAAATTTTGATTAAGTGATTATGTTTCATCTGTAATAATGTGTTATCAATATTTATTAAAAATTTGCACACCTGGATTATGCAGAATGTAATGGAACTTATATATTCTAATAATAATTTTACATTCCTATACCAACTTTCTATGTAAATAAATAATTATGAATTATGAATTCAATTATCAAAAGTCACTGCTAAACATATGCCAGATGGGGGAATAGTTACCGTAGTTGTCGTCTGGTTTTCCAATGGTAAAAGTTATCATCGGGTGTTCTGTTTTTTTTTTCAGCCTTTAAGTTTTAACCTTTAACACTAGCACAGTAGTCCTGCATTCTTTTTATAAGTAATTATGAGTTACATACATACCGACATTGCAAGAAATCAATGGTAAGCCTAACACAAATATATAAAGCATAAACTTCATTTTCACTCATGCATTTGAACATCAAATAAATTGATTTTAAATTCACAATTCCAGTTGATAATAGAAACTATAAGAGTGTAGTCACCTATACGTAATAATGATTAATTATTGATGAAGATAAGGCTAAGCCAGAGATAGTGTAACGTTGATTAAATTTATAAGATTATTAAATATTAGCTGTTACTTCGTCTACGTGGAATTTATTGTGATTGGATTTCATGAGTTTAATTTTTTTTTGCGCAGTACCTTAATTCTTTTTCTAAAAAAATTAGTCTAAGCTATTTCTCATAACATCAACTATCTGCCAGTCCCGTCAAAATCGGTCCATCCAAAGACGGAACAGAGACAGAGAGATAGACAGAAAGACAAAAAGATAGACAAAACATTTAGTTTATAGAAATACAAAAATAGAAATAGAAAATGTATTTATTTAACCAAAAAACATTACATAATTAAGCAATACACTGGTTTCTGCACAATAAAAATAGTTTTTTAGTTATAAGTACCGTATATATTTTCATATTATGTATTAAGTAAAAAGCTGTTATTTTTCCGTAAGCCCGTGTAATGGCGGGTAAGAATACCCACTACCCCATATCTTCCCGTGTGTGTCGTAAGAGGCGACAGAGGTAAATTGAGACAGAAGATGGGCAGCATTATCTTTCTGATAACAGCAAATTACAATAAAAAAAACTGCGGTTGTCAACCTGCTCACCAAGCGTGTAATCTGTGTATACGTGGTAGAGACATGCTGCAGCTATATTACTGGTATAGTTGTATCACTAATGGGTCGGCTCGACCGGGGAAGGACCACGCTCTCACAGAATACCAACGTAAAATAGCAGCTTAACGCTGCTGTGTTTCGTATGGTGAGTGTAGAGAACCGGAGACCCCTTTTTACTGGAAACGAGGCATTCCATCTTAGTCCTCACGGATGACAACGCATCTGCATTTTGATTCGTAATCGAAGATAGATGTACATGTCTATGGGTCACAGCAACCACTTACCATCAGGTGGACTGTGTGCTCGTTTGTCACTCTTATCCTATAAAAAAAAACATCTATGGCAATATACCCCCCATGACAAAAGTTACAAAAAGACGGCTCCCAGTCCCCGGCGGCCCGCTATACCTGGCTACGGTGGCGACCATGGTAACGGCGGGGCAGGGGGTGCTAATAATCTCCGGTGGAGGTTTGGTTGCCACCTAAGACCACTCGTCAAAAGTCCGCGTATAATAATATATAACAGTTTTTATGTAGTGGCTTCAAATTCATTCCTACTTTTTTATTTACTTAAGTAGTTAAATAGAAAGAAATGTCGGAAAATATAATAAATTAAAAAAAAATATTTATCAAATAAACGGTAGTTGTCGTGGCATTTATTTTCTTTCATGGTGACCAGGTTAGAGACACCGCTTCATTCGCTGCTGTGACTGGTTTCCGATTTCAAAGGTAAGAAAGTAATGGGCGTTTCCATAGCTTTATTACCTTAAATAGAAATAGAAAAGAATAAATTTAAATTGACAAGAATAGAGTAGAACAGAATAGGATAGAATGGAATAGAATGGAATGGAATAGAATGAAATAGAATGGAATGGAATAGAATAAAACAGAATAGAATAGAACGGGATGACGTGGAAAGTAATGGAATGGAAAAGTGTTAAATAAAACAGAATAGAATACAACAGATTAAAACAGGACACAGTAGAACAGAACAGATTATTACTGAATAAAATAGATTGTCTGTAAAGAAATTATAAATATTTAAAACTTTTTTTTTACTTTTAGTGCTATGCTGGTTGTAAGGCTAGTTAAAATATCCAGGTATATGTGGATTATAGTAAAAGCTTTGTTTTCGTTTCAACACACATGTATTTTGGTCTCTTGCCATCTTGTCCATCCAAATGTTATCTTAAATAAATTGCTTTAATCGATGAGACCGCTCATTGTACACATTTCTTTTTGTTCCTTTCTTATGTGCATATTTATATTATTGGCAGTCTAAAAGAATTCCTTTTTTGCATGAACATTGTTTATTAATCAAATTATACGTAAGAATTCGTCGCTAACGCCACAAAGGGGTGAACCTCAATTTTTATAAAATTACAGGAAAGCAAGAAAACATTAATGTATTATTCCCTGATTACTAGCTTTCTTCGATCAGAAAATCAAATATATTAGACTTAATAGAAAACTACAAATAAGATAATTTTTTTGATGAAAAAAGCTGGTAATCGCGGAATAATAAATGTTTTCTTGCTCTCCTGTAATTTAAAAAAAATTGAGGTTCAACCCTTTGCGACGTCAACGACGAATTATTCCATATTATACCTCGTATAATTTACACCCCAGTCCATAGCTGTCAAGCTCCTCATGACAATTATACCAACAGACAGAGGTTCCTGTGAATTGACAAAATTTGACAGGTGCCCTTTTTACCCGCTACAATCCAATAAGTCCGGTTGACAAGTAACATGAACGACAAGCTAATCCAATTGGATGTAAAAGGGGTTGAAAACAATGTTAATAATCGCTAAGGTGAATAGAAAGAGAATTACCTAAAGTAAAATCCTTTAAAGATTATTTACGTTCTTTTTAAATTATCATTTTTTTATAGGATAAGGGTGACAAACGAGCACACAGTCCACCTGATGGTAAGTGGTTGCTGCGGCCCATAGACATCTACATCTATCCTCTATTACAAATCAAAACGTAGATGCGTTGTCACCCGTGAGGACTAAGATGGAATGCCTCATTTCCAGTAAAAAGGGCCTCCGGCCACCTGCACTCACCAAGCGAAACGCAGAGGTAAACCTCTATTTGACACTGGTTTTCTGTGAGGTCGTGGTACCACCCCGGTTCGAGCCGGCCCATCCGTGCGACAGCAAAAGCTGCCGTGTAGCTCTACCACTGTTAGAATTTTTAATTACTTTCTTGACCTCGTTTAGAATTTCGAGTTAACCAACATATTATTTATAAAAGAATTACAATTTTTGATTTCTAGATGTTTGGAGTTTTTGACCGTATAGTGGAGGTGTAAGAATATGCATTTAACCAATGTCCGTGTAGTGTGATAGAAATGAGATAAAGTCCTTGTAAGAAATAGCAGTTTATTATGTACACACGTGTTACATCAGTGCCGGCAATATTGCTACTGTCTCACACAATTAATTTACATAGGTACTATAGGTATATATGCTACGTGCACTACCAAATCTCGTCTCGTAGGTATCGTAAGGGGTGACAGAAAGAAACAAACAACCCAGGAGATGGCGTCTTGCTAACAACAACTAGAAATAAAAAAATAAAAACTGCGGTTGCCAACCAGCCTACCAAGCATGGTAACTATGGAAAATGCTCCCCCTATGAGACAATCTATAGCCTGTTATTATATTATAACCTTTATTTAGCAGTGGACATTTGATAGGCTGCAACGGTAGTCCTAATGGGTTGTTTTGTTTAGGAGTCCATCTGAGTTCTTACCACCTTCATATCTATTTATTTGTTTAAAAACCATAAATAGATATTGTAATAGTTATATTATACTAATCAGGAATTTTCCCACTTCATCCCGTGGGTGTCGTAAGAGGCGACTATTGGAAATCTTAAAAGATATCATGGCTTCCAATATTCAGACCGAAAATGGGGAGCAGCGTCAAAGATTTTGGTTTTCCGAGTGTCCATTTTCCTCCCAAGCGTGTAGGCAAATTCTATACACATCGTAAGATGGCTATGTCACGTCATTACCATGAATTTAAAAAAAGTAAAAATGGTATTAATAGCGATACACAACAGTTCAAATTATTTTTGCCACTAATCGTTAATGCACCCACGGTTGCATTTCGTTTCGAAGGATATAGTATAACCAGCACAACTACAGGCTACGAGGTTACAAATCAACCGTGGTTTTATTTCTTTAAAGTGGGTTGCATGTGTCCACAGGATGCAGTATTTACTTACTGTTAAAGGAACTGTGAGCTCATTTATCATTCTTATAGTGAACACAAGTAAAAAAAAATATTTAAAAAAAATGAATACAGCATCTCAAAAGACCTCTGCTGAACATATAACAACTAATATTTGCCATTGTTACTATGCCAAACAGGAGGGTAGGCAAACGCAATTTTTACTATTTTATATTGTTTTTGGGAAGAAACCGCCACGGTGTGAGAATATCCTATACACCATATCATTCCGGTGGGTGTTGTTAAAGACAGGGAAACAAATCAGGAGATGGGCAGCAGCGTCTTCCTAATAAGGACTAAAAATGAAAACTGCAGTTGGCAACTATGTATATTTGCAATGTTGCCAATTACCATTCATGTAGTACCATATATAATACATCTGGTCGTTACAACTTTCATATTGCAACTTTTAGATAATTCATGTCCGCCATGTTATTTTATATGGTAGCTTCATATAGTCTGCGATATCTGCGCAACTGAAACAAATCGATCGAGATATAACTATTATCAAAATACGATAATTAACTAGTTTGGCAATACGGGCGGACAAAGAACTGGACGTACATATCACCCAAAATATAATCACCCTCCTTATAGGCTCCACCGTTGTCCAGCAAAATCCGTCCAGCAGAATCACAGCACTATTTTAACCGAAAACAAACCATTTTGATGGTCATACAAAACCTGCCACGATACATAGTAAAATTATTCGTTCATTAGCTAATAAATCTTCCTTTTCTTCTTTCTTTAGTTACTAACCCGTAATAATCCACAGCTGGACATGAGCTTCCTCCATTCCGAGAAGGATTTGCCATAAGCACTACGTTTGGATACGGATTGCATACGGTGCGATCACAAACAGATATCTCGCACCTT